GAGCGCGCCGGCACCCGCCCGGACCTCAGCGGCATGCGCCACCGCCGCCCGCACGAGGACACCGCCGAGATCCAGAGCCGCTTCTACTACCCCAGTGAGTGCGCGCCCCTCGCCGCCCTCGCAGATCCCCCTCAGCCCAATTTTGTTTCTGTTGAAAAAACTGATACTGTTTTGTAATCAGAAGTATCTTGATTCTGATTATTCCGACCAGTCGCCAGAGCGTATTTGGCTAACAAATCGATCTCTTAATCATCACTGACTCCTTTTAAAATTACTACACATTGGGGATTGATACGAAACCCCATTGGAACCCCGGCACTAAAGCGTCAATAATCCGAATTTATCCGAATTTTCAAAACGATCCAATAAAAGAGCTAGTTGGAAAAAAACTTGCTAAAATCTTTCATAATTCACTCTGATTGGAGAGAATGATAATTTTCTTCATTCAATAATTTTCATAAAATTATTAAGTCTTGTTGTTTTAAAATATATGTACATGCTTACAGTATTCACCTCACTCATTTTGTTTGTTTTTCTTTCTTCTTCTTCTTCTTCTTCTTCTTCTTCTTCCACTAGAATCAAAGCCAGGTTATCGATGGTTCTTATTTTTTAGGTCTGAATGATTGACGCTCTGCTGTATTGGCATTTCGTTTTCAATATTCCATGATTCAGTCACAAGATTTCTGCATTAATTTCACATCTGGTCAGATGAGAAATTCAGAATTAAATTTTATATAATTTTTGTTCTTTTCATCTTCATTATGTGTAATTACCCCTCCTAGCGAGTAGGAATTCAACATCAATTTTTGTTTTTATACAAATATCAATGTTTTAATCATCGATATATTAAAGCCAATGTTTTGAAACATCTATGTTTATACGTTTTCAATGTCTTGTGAGTGAATAATTACCATAATCACAATTTTATTAAAGTTAAAATATAACGTAATATGGACGCTTGTACTTTCAAGTTCAGCCTTGTTCAGTATCATTATTTTTTACTTTGTTTTCAGTAAAATCTTCATTGTAAATTAATAAACATAGTAATATTTAAAATCACTGATATTTTGTTGATGTATAATTAATATCATGGTTTAAATTTTGAACATCGATGATTGTTAATACTGATGTTCTGTCATCCATGTCACATTACTATTGGCAAGTAACTGCTGCTACTATTAATTCTTTTTACTGTATCTACTTATTAACATCAAAACAATAAAAAATGTACTTTGTTCATCAAGAGGAAAATAAGCTATCTTGGTGAACAAGGCATTTATCATCTCAGAATTAGTATTGCTGAAAACAGACAAAACTTTAAGCTCAGGAATGTGGATGATCTTTTTATTACAGTGTTCATGAAGTTTTCATTTTTTGATTGATCAAAATATATATTAGAACTTAAACTTTTTTTACTACACTTGTTTACAGAAAATAAATAACAATGAAATTTACCTTGTATTTGTTTAATAAATCAGAACTTCTTGTGATAATATAAAAGTCACATTTATTTGACTCTTATGACAATCATAATCAATATTGTTAATTAGGTACATAATTAAGTTCACATTATTAAGAGTTGAGTATTAAAAGAAGCAAGATAGATTACTTATATGATTAAAACAATCTATTTGAGAGATGAAGGTACAAAAAGTAGAGGTGTATACTGATAAAAGGTGTTAATAATTTCATATCTTAATAAATAAGTTACACAGGGTCAATATTTTGAAATATCTGCCACATTAATTCTACTGTCATCAGTCTTCTGCTTTCATTGGATTACTGAAATCTTATAAAATTAATTTAAAAATTAAGTTAAGTCCATTCACTTGATTATTTCAGCTGACATAATTTTCCAATTTATTAACTTCTACATTGTTTTACTTACTAATTAAATGTTTCCTTTATTTCGCAGAGGATGATGATATCAATGTATGGATGTTTGCTATGATTGGCATTGGCTGCGTGTTCATTATCTTCGTAGCTGTATCTCTGTACATCATGTGGTGAGTATTTGGGTGACTACTCCTGCGAAAAAAGTATTGTTACATAAATTTTACATATATATTTCCTGCATTATCAGTCTTTCAGATTTCATGTATGTCATTTAAGGCTTTTTGACAAAATTATTTTATTAAACTCATTTTATTTTTGCTAATTGTGTTAGTATGAAGATGAATGATGAGAATAATACTTAATTTAAATTACTTTCAATAAGTAATATTTAAATTACTGACTCATTTAATTGAATGTTTTTCCCTTCTGAACTTAAATGAACCAAGTATTCTTAAAAAAGCACTTCTTTGTTTTTGTGTTCCATTATTTTCCAACTTCATAATTGTTCCCTTCAACTAAACACCATTTATACTCTCTTGTACCTCCTTCAAAATAGCTTCAATGTTCATTGCTTTGTACAGAAGACACATTTCTTCTAATGTTTCAATAGTACCAAGAGAGTCTGTAAAGTTAGATGCTGCATCCAAGTAACCATAAATTCTGACCAATCCAAATTAAGAAATCAATTTTCATAAGTGAACTTTGTATATTTTAAGAAATTCACAATTTAGTATCTTCTAGAATCATAACTCATTTTAGCCATTTTCAAAATCAATAGAATTCACACATTTGGACCAGAAATTTCAGAAATGGATATGAATATTAAAAAAAATGTCATTACAAAGTGAGGAATAACATAGGATAAAAACCTAAGAGTTCAGACTCTAATTGTCAGCTTACTTCTTTTGGTGCAACTTTGTATTGTATAATACAAAATTCACAGAATTGTTTCAAGTCTCATTCAGATTTTCCCTTTTAAATAGTAATTTCCTTAATCAGAATGATATATGTCAATAAGTTACAATAATATACTTTCATTTTAATGCAACATGGTGAGATGTTTCCCAGCTTTTAGAGCTCCAGTGCTAGGCACAAAGCTCCAACACAGAAAACAGAATTTATTATCTTTTTTTCTAGGACATATTACAAGGAAAGGGAAAAAGTAATAATTTTTTTCTTTAGATAATACCTGTCATGATACACCCTTGGTATTTCTAGATTCAATTTGCATCAGTCTATGAATTGTCAAATTGCTTAATTAAATTTGCAATCCAGAATCACATGTACATTTCCTCGTATAAGTACACTAACTGTAAGATGTACTACAAAAGGTTTTGGAATGAAAAAAGAAAAGAAAAGCTATATAAAATAAATTCCATGTAAACTAAATCTAAGCAAAGTGAAACTACATATTCTCAAATGAAATTACACTTTTTAAATTTGTTGGTTCTTAGTTTTCTGAGGCAAATAATTTCTCATGAATTATTGTCATAAATTAACCAATTTATTTGGATTGTATTCGAATACAAATTTCCTATTAAATAGAATTAATTACCAATAATTTTGTTTTTAATATTCATTTTCATGGCAAAATACATTAATATAAATGGTTCAACATTTCATGAACAGAACAGAATGAGTAATAAAATCAAAACCATCAAAACATATAGATAAATTCAATATTCTCGTTAAATTTATCTTCCTTAAAAAAAAAACTTTTAATCCAAAATCCTATCTTCAGTTCATTTCCAAAAGATCCAAATCATTTCCAAAATTTTAATTATTTGCACATATCTTCTTTAAAATAAATTAAAGTTAAAATAATATTAATGCTCCTTATACACTCTTAATATCATGAATGGATATTCAACAATTAAAAGTCATTAATCGTCTTTTCTGAAATACTTTGTTTACAATCAAGACTTTTATCTACCTCCTTGCTAATCGTATCTCAGTTACAGGAAATCAAATGATGAAGATGGTCGCTACTTGTTTGTACAACAAGATGCGCAGCAGAAAGTACTTTGAAAGCGAGGGCACCAACAGACATAGCATGGTACAAATCCAAGAGAGAAAAAGCCCTGCCCGTGAACGAGTGGTGTCTTCAACACACAGTTGGTTGCAAAACCTGTTTCTTGTTTGGAAGTCTTTTAAATTTGTGGTGCAGTTGCTTTGATGGAGTATTGTTGTTATATATGTCGTATTTCTCACTCCAGTGTGAGGAAAACCTGAACTCATCTTTACTCTTCTGATAAAGAATATAATTCAATGTATTTTCAGCATACATCATTTCTAAGTTGTATTCAGCAAAATAAGTATCATTACTATGAATTCAATCATTTAGTATATATATTATAAAAATGTTAAATTATCAGATGATACTTTAACATTGGAACATCAAAACCTATAAACAGATGTTGCACAAAATAACATTTAAAATTAATTTTAGACAGTGAAATTGACAGAAAGTTACAATTTAGTGTTTACTATCTAACCAGTCTAAAATCGCAGAGGACATGTGAATGAATGGTTAAGCATACAACCAGATGCTTACCACCAAGTTGGATAGGTGCTTTCATTTCCAAAAATTTTAGGTCTTCTAATTATTAAGATCAATAAATATATATTTTCAATGTATTAATCCTTTTAAATATATTCTTAACATGTTTATTCTTCATTTATAGCTGTTCTCTTTCCGTATTTTCATATTTCTGCCCAAAGTTCATTGTCAGACAATATCTGAAATGTACAGTCTTATCCATTAAAGAGCAAACATGTAGTTTCTAATGAAATTAATTTTGAATAAACAGAGTGCATTCAATAATATATCATGTTCATAAATTCAATGTTAATCCTCTGATATGAGTCATTTTCTTTAACATAAAAATGGAAATTAGCCACTACAGTATATATAAACATTTGAAATAGAAGTAAAGGCAATTAAAAATTCTATTTGAAATTCATTAAAAATTGAGTTCTTTAATCTTCCAAAGATTTTGATATTCATCAAATGGGGATGTAGGACAAAGATACATTAAATTTGTTAAGATTACGTAAATATTGAAACAAGTAATGAGGCAGATAATGCCAGAATAAACAAGCTTTATGAACAATGATTTTAGCACAATTAATTTCTAAGCAGTTGGAAAAATATGAAATTCAAAATATTTCAAAAATTCGTTTGGAGTAATAAATATGTGATTCACAACATTCTGTTTGTCTAAATGAAAAAAAAACTGCAATCAAATCAAAGTTTTGCATTTAAAGACATAGAGATACATACACATTTAGACTGTGAGCATCAAATGTTAATTTACTGTAATTATTAATACATTTACAATTACAGCAAAGATTACCATAAAACGTGCTGTTGCTCAAGTATTTCTGAGGATTAAATGTCACATCTTGGAAAATATTGGATTCTTCTCTAGAAAAAGACTAACAATTAATTCTGCCACTATCATTATGTTAGAATATAATGTCATGGCTCTGTCAATTGCACATGTACATATTTATTAACTTATCATGTAAGCTTTACATGATACACAATTCAGGTACAAGTAGTACACAATTTAATAAATAAGAATAATTTGAAATGTTAATATTTATTTCATTCAGAAGATGAAAGAAAGACAAGGTTTTCTCTCATTTATGGTTGTAAGACATCTGAATTGTCCTATATAAAGCTCAAGAGTGGTAGCAAGAAAGTGAAAACAATGTGACTGACAATATAATTTAAGAAAGAGAAGTGAACATTTTTCTGTGTATACTTGTGCAATTTTACGTCAGCCTGCTATCTCCATTTGCATTTTTCAATGTAATTAGGTGTTTTTAAAAACGCAGGCATATGAGTGCAAATAGGGGTCCCAGGAATAAATACTTTCACTCTGAAATAAGAAAACAAAATGTTTATCAATTCTATCCTGTTGTGATATTAATGCAGACAGGCAAAACTTTTTTCTTTTTAGAATTCATGGAGTTACTATAAAGTCCTAATAAACAAACACTGTTTCTATCAAGAACCAGATTTAAACATCAGGTTCTACAAAAAACTTTTCCCCCTCAGAAATCAAAGAAATCTTCTAGAAAAATAATTGTACACATATTTTAAAGTGTTCTGATAATGGCTTCTTCCATGACAGTTTTGACGTGAATCAATCAAGTTACATTTTCAACAATGAATAATTCAGAATAACTTTGAAAAGGAAATAATACTATGTTACTTGCTATAAGAATGAATGAATTATGTATTTTCTTTATATTCACAAAAATCTCAGTGGTTCAACATATCCCAAAAGAATTTGTTGCTTTGCATAGTGAGGATGTAATTTCAATAGTTTTTCATATAGGTACTGATGGTTCCTGCATTTTCCATACCAACTATGTTCAACTAAATATATCCATACCAACTACACATTTCTTTTAAAATGGATATTTGTTGAGAATGATTATAAACAATGCATAATGGCATAATATACTGCTCTATTTTTTGACATTCACAATACCATTTCTGGTAGTAAATGCACCAGTGGCAACATGTAATAGATCCTAGTGAGTGTGGTAATTAAATTGATTTTTGAATTTCATGTAAGATTCTTATATGGTACGAAATTAAGAGGTCATATCATATACAAGTATTATCTGTCGGCAGAAATGAACTGTCGATATGATACTCCTACTTAAAGTAGTTGCCCTGCTGATGTGTGCTTTTATCTGGTCTTGTGTTTTTGCATAGACAAGATTTTTTAATGGAGTCTAAATACATTCAAAATATATTTTATCAAGTTTCGCATTAATTTAATTGACATGCATGTCAAACAACCAATATGTGTAAAAGGAAAACAAGTATATGGGACCCTTATTGAATTTTCTGTGTAGGATATTATATGATATGTAGAAATACTTTTACAAGCAAGTTTTATTGTCATACACTCACAGTTTGTACAAGCTAGAATGGTAGAGGTAAATTTTACATTCAATGTTCTGTCATATAATGAAAGATAAGGATACGAAGAGCAAAACGCACATTTATATTGTTGGAGAGTTAACATGGACAAAGGCGTTGATTAAATAAGATACAGACTTAATTTCTTGAATATGAATACCTGTGAAACATGGTTATTTTACAACCATTGTCACAAAATCATTTCAACTCTTATTGGTAAGTTGAAATATTAATATAATATTGGATAATAAACAATTTGAAAACGCATCATACTAATGTGGTATCACAAGTTCTTGGAAGAACCAATAGCTAGCAAAACATTTCAAGAAACATAAATCAGTAGCATTTCTAAGCTAACAGAGGCTGAGTGCCCATAATTTGACTCTGGAATGACCAGGTTCCAACAAATATTTCAAACTTAAGTCAAAATTTTGTTAATTCTTTATTTAGTCATCTCTCCAACTACAGTAGTGATTTTTTAAAGCAGATATTTGACCACAATTTGCAGCTTGAATATGTGTTCTACTTGTAGCAGAAAAAAATTTAGGAGCTTGTAACACTAACAACTGATTTTCTTTGATTTTGTCAGTTGTATCCTAGTCATTCCAAAGGGTTGAATAGTTAATAAGAGGGTAAAGTATATAGGCCAAAAGATTTGGGGTGAAAAAATTATTCTACATGCTGAAAACATTATTCTTAGTGAATATATAAGCTTTTAGCATACATACAAGACAGAACATATATTTTGTGACAAATAACAAGTATTAAAGTATATATGAAAACCCGATAAATAAGAATTTGATTCTTCGTGTATGATAAAATCAGTGGACGAAAAGATTTGGAGATATTTCCATTATTGAGAGAATGAAATGTGTTGAAAGAAGAAAGAAAGAATGAAGTAAAACATCCATTTTTTGTTGTTGTTCTAAGCAAACTTATTAAACACTTGATGCTCAAAAAATGCACCACAGAAATACAATTAAAGACATTTCTATAAACAAGAAAAGCACAAATACAACCCTCTGCCATTCTTTCTTTTCCTGTGAGTGTATAAACATTGAACTATGTGAAGCTTTGTTTTACCGAAGAGACGTTCTGATTGCCACATAATGAACACATATTGAAGTGCCCAGTACGTATCATGATTTTAAAACAACTTCAGGATATTTGTCTGTGCTCTTAAAGACATTGCTGTTGTTTTGATGTATTACAAATCATTATCAAAAATATGCACAAACTTCAAGTTAAATTATGATGTAAATTTAGTATGTTATGTGTGATCAGACAAAGTCTTCTTTTCCAACATGTTAATCAAAGCTGAGCATGTCCAACATTTAATAAAAATTTAAATGTGCTTTTTGTGGTGAAGCAATTAACAAAATACATTCATCAATTGCTGTGCTAATAACTAATGCTGAATTTATTAGGCGAGGGTGTTGTTTGGGTGGATATCAGTTCACATATCACCAATCATAGTTGTAACATATAGTACAGTGCTCAGCAAAATATCTGACAGGTTATAGCTTGGAGAGAATCTTGCAGCTGAAAATGAGGATAAAACTATTAGGAACAGTTATTGATAAAAATGTGAAAAACCGAATTTGAATCAACAATCAAGAAGTAATTATCATTTCAGAAGAGAGAGAGAGAATAATCTCTATTTAAAAAGGCTGTATGATTATTTCAATAATGAAATGTGGGCAAGAAAAATCTGTTCAAGACCATCTTCTTTTCTTTATACCATATTAAAACTCTACCATACAGTTGACAATTAAGTGTGATGCAGGTATATATAATAGAAAAGGATTCTGGAGCTCAAGAAATCATCTGCAGATTAAACTTCTCCTTTATTTGTCCTATATAATTGTTATATTTTTTATGACAAAATAAACAAGTAAAAAGTACAATGTAAACTGAAATAATGCTGTCATTATTCATTATTGAATGTAGGCCTTACGTTCACAAATGTATAAGTTCCATTTAATTAATGTTTTCTGATGTAACTAAACATCAACTTCGTTTTTCAAAACCTCTGAATAGTTATACCAACTGTTTGATTTCTGAATTTTAATTTTAGTTTTTAATGAAAATCTGTGAACCATGAAATTATCAATGTGAATACTTTCAAAATATTGTTTAAATATTATCTACAATATATTTAGTTGTTACAGTTGTTAAGTGATTAACTTAAGTTATCATTATCATGTAAACTTTTTGTTATTACAATTATTCTATAACAGGGAAAATAAGAAACATGTTGTTTAAAATTGAACAATTAATTCAAACAATAGTTAAAGAGCGGATAACATAATTGGACTTCTGAAGACTTGTTTTGAACAGAACAAGATCTCTGTTTCTATCTAATTCAAATCTAGCTTTAAGAAATCAAAAAATAGTGAAAATTAGCTTTCTTATAGCTTCTAGCGGTATCATCTACAATGAATTAAGTACACAGAAAGTATTCATCTAATGAAAACAAATTATTTAATATCCAAATACGCCTACTTCCTGTACTCATGGCACAAAATTCAGTCCAACTCAGCTGCAAGATATCTCTATCATTATTCTTCAAGACTGTACCATTTTATAAGACTTCATA